GATTTTCCCTGAACAGTACTAAAACAATCAAGGGATATTTCCAGGCCAAAAGGAGCCCAAGCTATCCATATTTCAAAACTTACACACAAACGCACTCAGACATATATTCACCCAACACGTACTTTAAGGAACTGTACAAAGAAAGAAATGAGTAAGATTAGTTTTAGATCATACATTTAATGGCCCCACCTCTATCCATATGAGTGCATATTGCTAAAGTCACTGTCAGCGTGTGTTTCCCATGAATTATTCTGATTTTGTGCATTTATTAATTGAAAGGCTGAATATTATAAAAGATAAGAACTTGAGTCTTGGGGTTGAGACTACTGGACTCAAAAGCCAGCAGTCTCTTACAAGAATTACGATGTTTGTCTTTCTCTGATTGGCTTATTTCACTTAGCATAATACTCTGGGGAGGGTAGGGGGTCGGGAGGAGGGTGTCAATGGGGAAAAGAACCAGCTGTAACAAAACTAAATTAATTAATAAAAGAATTATGATGTCAAAAGTCTTGCCCTCCATAAAACTTCAGTTCCTTGTTTGTAAAAGGCGAGGCTAAAAATAGCATCTATTTAGCAGAATTATTTATATGATTAAGTGAGATAATATTCACAAAACCCTTAGCACAGCATCTGGCTCATGGTGAAGTCCTAATGAATGTTTCTATTATTATCTTATATGTACATTAAAATACTCTTTCTTTTTAGGGTTTCATCGTATTCTAAAATATTAATCAACAATGCTCTTTTTATTACTGCTCTGGATTTGGGTTGTTTAAATCTATTTGGGGACACATGCCTCGTTGCTATAAATATCTACATGTTAAATATTGTTTTCTGCTAAGTTTATTTTCTTGAAGGATATTCAAGCTGGACGCACAGGATGAAGTGAGAGGTTTTTATGGACATTCTTACACGTTGTCAAATTCCTGTCCAGAGAAAAGTAAACCAACTCACAGATAGCGGTATGACATTATTAAATCTCTTTCCTCATAGACACACTAACTATGGTTTTTCATTCCTTTTATTCAGTTATTGTAGAGAATTAGCATAAGAATCAGACCCAAAATATTCAAATATGCCTTTCTGCAACTACTGCTAATTCAATGGGGTGCATATGGGAAACCTCTGTACCTTCTTCACAATTTTTCTGTGAACCTAAAATTGCTGTAAAAAACACAGTCTATTAAGAGGGGGGCGAGGAAGCGTTTATAAAGAATTTACGAAGAACTCCCATAATTGTGGTTAAAGGGATTATAACGTCTATTTATTCATCGGTCAAAAAAATACTCTAATTTCGCCAAAATGTTGACAATGGTTCTCGGTGGGTGGTGAGGATTATGGGTGGTTAAAGACAGGGACAGGGGGTGAATCTTTTTTCTCATGTTACATTTTCTCATCCAGGAAGATAAAACTATGTTTTTTTGTTTTTTAGAGAGAAGAAGGGAGAGGGAGAGAGAAACATCCATGTGAGAGCGAATAGCACTTGGCTGCCTCCTGCACACCCCCTACTGGTGATCAAGCCCAGAACCCAGGCAAGCACCCTGACTGGGACTCAACCTGTTGGTGCCCAGCATGATGCCCAGACAATGGAGCCACATCAGCCGGGGCAAAACCATATTTTTAAAAAATAAAAAATGTGTATCTTTTTTAATTATTAAAAATATAATTATGGTCCCAGCCAGTTTGGCTCAGCGGTTGAGCGTCAGCCTGCAGACCAGAGAGTCCCGGGTTCAGTTCCCACTAGGGGCACATACCACACACACACACAAAATAATAATAATAATTATGTTTCCTAAAGTCTATGAAAGATTGTGTGTGTGTGTGTGTGTGTGTGTGTGTGTGTGTGTGTGTAGCCAAACGAAAGAGATGACTAAATTAACTTATCCTGATGCTAAGGAAAGCCCTGGTTAATTTGAGATGAAAATTTGGGAGAATAAGCAAAATATTGAGCTACTGCAAAGAGACACCTAGAAACTCTGAGGTTTCTCTTGTTCTCAAGGGAGGGACACACGGAGATGGGGGAGCTCAGCTGAGAAGACCAAGAGGCAATGAAGGGGTACACATTGAGATGAGCAGAGGCTGACTCAGCAAAACGGTTAAATGACTTTGCAAAACACCTGTCACAGTGGATAACCAGAGCCTCCTGCAGAAACAGCTTAGAGTCCCTGCAGCGCACACACAATTCTGTCCAGGGAGAAGACTGAGAGGGAGGAAGAGAACAAGAGAGGAAAGGAAAGAACATCAAAGGCACCTTCATGGATCTGAAGAACGTTTCTTCACCAAGCCACTGGGAAGGAGAGAACTGCAGAGAAAAACCAGAATGAAGTGTGTGCGAGCCTCCTGCTAAGCTCCAGCCCCTGGGCAAACATCCCCTAGCTCTGCTTTCTGCGGCTCATGAGAAATCCCCGGGTTGCTCTGTGGATGCTGACCACACTCTAATTGTTTTTATGGTAAGTGAGGCATTCAACTTACAGTCAAAAACATGTTATCCAAAGAGTCCAGCCACACTTGGTCTTCCCAGCAGACCACTCCGGGGGTTAACACTGTCTGCGGAGCCCGAGAGACTCAACTCATCAGGGCCTCCCATTCCTTCAAGGCAGATTTGTAGGTAAGAGGCTGTCTTTCTTCTGTGCAACTAAAGAGTCTTTCTGAAGTATTTAACTCTGCTACAGAATGATACAACACTCCCAAGGAAGAGGTGAGAGGGAATTCGGTCTGTCTTTTAAGCATTGGCAGGGTTTGTTGACAAACATCAGTTACACCCTTCGTATTATCCTAACAATACTATCCCTCACTATTCCCAGGATTTGCTCCCCGGATTTAGCCCTATTCAAAAACCACTCAAAGGTACTCACACAGCCTGTTGCTGGCTTCGAACCAACAGATTTCACTTCATTACGTTCCCCTCCGCCACCCCTGAATGATAGACTGGAGGGTGGCGGGGCAAAAAGTAGGTGTACAGTCATTCGTATGGAAAATAATACGATAATTCATAGATGATAACGCACGGATAAACTCTGTTGCACATACAACGGTTAACCCACGTTTGCCTCACCCCGTGTACTTAGTGGTTAAAATATTTTCTGGGTCAAAACATGTTCGGGGTGATTTCCCTCTCGTCCACGTGGTTTTCAGGTCCCGTGGGCAGGAAACAGTCTGTTTTGGTCAAATGCCTTAATGAATAGGAAGAGACAGGATGATGCAAGTGTTTGGGTGAAATACACAGTGTCGAAGGCTGCCTCTCAGGTTTAATTCAGATCTATCCCAACACACAAATTAATCACAGCCTAAGTGTGGGTATCCCGCCCCTCAGAAGCTGCCCCAGCCTAAGAGGACCTGGAGGGCCCCGAGCCTCAGTATCCCCGGTCTGGTTCCAACCGAACCTGTAACAGTCAGCCGCGTGGGGCGGCATGAGCAGCAGGTAATGCTACGTTTTACCAGAACCCACACAGCAGCCTTGGTGTTTGGAACCTGACACCGAATTCCTTAGCCCCGAATTAGAAAAGGCACTTCTTTGATAGATTTCTCCTCGTTCCGGTTTGCAGGCAACTAATCCTCACTGCATTGGATCAAAAGGACAAGCACCATCAATTCTGGAAAAGTAAGCAATGCCAGGGCCGTTCTGTCTTTCCTCTCAATGAGCAGCCGTGGAGGGGGGGGGACAGGGGAAGAGAGAGAGAAAATTTAGACGCTTGCACCCAGGATGGCTTAGCAAAGGCCAAGAAGACGAGGTGAAATACAGATCCTGGCGGGCGGAAGTTCCCAGGGTCCGAGGGAGAGGCTGAAACACAGGAGGAAGCCAAACACGCCCAAGCCCTCGGGCACAGGGTACTGGAGGGGCAGGCGAGGGAGTGGTTGTGTCAAAACAGAAGAAATGGGCGCAGCAGCTCCAGGGAGGAAGGTCTTCGTGTACTCAAATCCCCAGGGTCTGTGAGCTATACACAGTGTGACGGAGCAAGTTCATGACTGCACTTGGGTAATTAAGTCCCGTAGAGACCAGCGCCCCCAGAGAAAGCAGGACTCACTGAAGCTGCTACACCATTCTAGGCTTGAGCAGCGATTCTGTGAGAAGTCTTACTGGGAAAGCACCCCAAGGGGGGCAGGAGGAACACGAATGAGAGAAGCTGGCCCTCAGGATCCACCGCTTTCTCTCTGCCTTTGGACTGAAGGACCTGCCAAGATTTCCCCCTCGTTGATCAGGGGCTCCGTTCTCCCCCAACAGCTCAACGACTCTGCCCACCTGCTCGCGCAGACCGTGGTCAACGGCTTAGCCCTCGCTTCGCTGAGTCTTCCCGATCCGTTCTTTCCTCACAGGGCTTTTATATCATCCCTTCTTGGCCCCTGGATCTGTTCTGGCCAAGACTAAAGTATCTGTCTCCAGGCAAGAGCATCAGAGGGCTCATTTGGATAATGGTTCTCCCCCTCCCGCCCCGTTAATGATCTCTGCAGGGCTCAGAGATCCAGCCCTCCCTGCCACAGCCTCTCCAGCAACAGTTCTCATCAGCTTTCCGTGCTATGTACGAACAGGAAGGCTCACACCTTTCTTGTCCCCAAGTGCCTAGATCCTGGCAATCACACTGACCCCCTTCCTCTCTCTTTCCGTCTTTGGCTTAGTAATGTCTCCAAATGATCTCTGTACGTATAGGAAACACATCACCGGCAAACCGGCGACCAGAAGCCTTGGGCATGGGCGACGCCAACCTATGTCTTCCTTGCCACAGGGACATGCATCAATAACACGTGCTCATAAATACAGACAGCTTCCCATTTGCATCGAGGTGCACACAGACCCAGCTCCTCGTTTTCCGCAGGAAGTCAGGATGGCCGGGGTCTGGCTCTGTGAAAGGATGGTGCCCTTACCTTTATCTGGAGGCTCCTCCAGCTTTTGTCTCTGGCTAAGACCCCCGAGGTCCACCTGAGTCTGCTTTCTGAGATATCCTCCCAGGGAGACACAAAGGCTCACTCACGCCCCTCTCGCGCCCCGGGCGGGCGCATCCTACCTCCGGAGGTGGTGGTCCAGAGGCTCATCCTCCGCGTTCAGTAGGGTGGCTGCACGGGTCAGGAGCTGCCGGCTGCAGCTGACGGATTTGAGTTCCAGGATGAGGAGACCCAGGCAGAACATGGCCCCCATCTCCTCCAGCTCACGGGTACCAAACTGCAGGCCCTGCAGGGAGACAAAGCGTCATCAGTGACCGCTGAGTGCAGACAGCCTGAGAAGGGGAGGGAGTCTCCGGGACACAGCTGTCACCGACGCTGGGAACGAAGTTTCTCAGTCCACGTGCTTGTGCTTGGTGCGTGGTGGGCGGACAGCACTCAGGCGTCAATGCCTAGACATCTGGGGCTTCCCAGAAGACCCCGAAGGCAGAAGGGTGCGTGCAGATGTAAAACCCATCTCCCCACTTCAGCCCAAGCAGCAGAGTTCACTGCTGAATCCAACGTCTGAAAACAACCTTCCTGGGAAATACCCTCTTTCCCCCACACAGCTATCCACCCATGGAGGAAAATGAGGGCGGATCCTTCACATATAAACACTGAAACTTAAGCCCCGGCCGGTTCAGTGGTTAGAGCATCGTACCACAGACCAAAGAGTCTTGGGTTTGATTCCAGTCAAGGGCATGTGCTCCAGTTGCCATACAGTCCCTGGCCCTGGTCGGGGTCCTGCAGGAGGCACCCAGTGGATGTGAAATCAATGTTTCTCTCTCTCCCTCATACTCTACCTGAATTTAAATGGAAAAATATCCTCGGGTAAGGATTAAAATAGAACAACTGAAACTTAAGAAATAAAAAGCTATTTAGCTAGAACCATCTATGTAGTTGTACTGCAATAATGCATGAAGGCAAAGCAGTTCTATGCTATGAAGTAACAGATAATCCCAATGAATAAACCACTTTGCTGAGCATTGACTCTGTGCCCTGTTCAGAGATACTGTTCTGAGTTCCTGACATGCATTCCCTCAGTGATGCCTGGCCAAGCCCTGGGAGGTGGGTATTGTTACTTTCTCCATCCCACAGAGAAGGGCATTTAGACCCACAGAACGTATATGTTGTCCACTGCCTCACAGTAAGAGACGAGTAAGTGGATTCTGACCTAACCGCTCAACACGGTGTCTACTCAGACGAGATGGGACTCTACTGGGTAAGGTAGACACCGTACGCCTCCTGAAATTCGAAAGGACCTGGGTTTGGATGTTGACATCCCTCTTTCCGACCGTGGAACCCTGGACTTGATGAACTCTGAGAGCTTTGACTTCCCGTCTGTAAAGAGGGATGCTAATTCTTCCCTCCGGAGACTGAGGAGTGTAGTTCTAAGGAATATTGCAAAGTCCTCATAGTATTACAATGAGCTCATTTCTCTTTTCTTCTTCCGGCTCAACATGTTCCTTAGGACAGAACTCAGTGCAGTTGTGGTCTTCGTGCTTCTAAAGCACATTTAAGTGAGACTCAATAGTTGAATATTATTCTTTAAATGGAATTTCCCATCCAAATAATAGTGATGTATAAGAGAGGATGAGGGCAGTCAAAATTTTATTATTTCATTTCATTTTCTTCTATTATTTTATTTTATTTATTTATTTTACTTTTGTATTCATTTCATTTCATTTTCTTTTATTTTTTTCTTTTGGTATTTTATTTATTTATTTTACTTTTTGTTCATTTCATTTTCTTTTATTTTTTAATTTTATTTATTTATTTTACTTTTTTATTCATTTCATTTCACTTTCTTAATTTTTTCTTTTATTATTTTATTTTATTTATTTATTTTACTTATTTTTTTATTTTATTTTTAAATTTTAATTTAATTTAATTTTAATCCTCACCCGAGAACATCTTTGCATTTATCTTCAGATAGAACAGGAGGGAGAGAGGGAAGAAGAGAGAGAGAGAAACATCAATGTGAGACACATCGAGTGGTTGCCACCCACACAACCCCAACGGGGCCAGGGACAAACTGTAACGGAGGTGCATGCCCTTAGCGGGATCCGAACCCGGGACTCTCTGGTCCGTGGGCAGACGCTCTAACCACTGAGCCAAACCAGCCAGGGCCAACAGTCACAATTCTAAAAGACTGGCCATGGCAGTCACAAGGCAAAACAAAGATCCAAGCTGGAAAATCGTCAAGCCTCGCAGAACAACGTCTAAGCAGAAGGACATCGGAAGAGGGGCCAGTTTCCAGGTTCCTTTCAGCGCTTTGAAAACCCCATTTGGGCCCCTTTTCACACCTGTTTTCCGTAAGGAAGGAGACGTCACTGCAGTGACGGGAAGTCTGTTCCTCTGTAAACAACGGCGGTGGGAGGGGAAACCGATGTTTCACAAGAGAGTTGACTTAAGTCAACGGAAAAGATCCCTTTTTAAAGAGACAGAAAAATCTCAGTCTTGCTGCAAATGCAGCAGCTCCTGGTCTGCCTCCTTCCCTCCACCCTGCGTTCCTGGCTGCTTTTCATCCTTCCTGAATCACTGGCTGGTTGAGAGAAAGGAGGTGAAGGTCCCACCCTCCTCGGTCACCCACCTCCCAGGAGAGGAGACAAAGGAAACAGAGCTAAGGATCCAGCGCACATGGTTCAAGACCAGAGACAGGGAAGCAACAAGCACAGACCGAGGAGAAAAGAGTGTGTCTCAGCAAGTCGTTACTGTGTGAGAGTCTCAGAAGGAGGACACACCGGATGCACACCCACGTAGATACAGGGAGCTTCATACTTGCTTTGCAAATGTCAGCATAACTCTGGTATCTGTAACAGCCAAGACATAGGAACAGCCTGAGTATCCATCAGCAGATGAAGAAATAAAGAAAATGTGGTATGTGTATTATTTATAGATGTGTGTGTGTAGCCCTGGCCGGTGTGGCTCAGCGGTTAGAGCGTCAGCCCGTGGACCAATGAGTCCCAGGTTTGATTCTGGTCAAGGGCACGGACCTCAGTTGTGGTTCGTCCCCAGCCCTGGTTGGGTCACGTGGGAAGCAACCCGTCAATGTGCTCTATCATGTCGATGTCTCTCTCTCTACTTTCCTCCCTCCCTTCCACTCTATCTGATAATAAGTGGGAAAATGTCCTCTGGTGAAGAATAAAAATAAATAAATAAAATATACGTGTGTGTGTGTGTGTATATATATATGTATATATATGTGTATATATAAATAATATTTAGTCATAAAAAAGAAACCCTGCCATTTGCAACGAGGTGGATGGACCCTGAGGGCATTATACTAAGTGAAATACATCAGATAAAGACAAATTATGAAACCACTTTACTGAGCATTATATGCGGCATCTAGAAAAAGATACAAATTCATACATATAGAGAACAGATTGGTGGTTACCGGAGGCGAGGGTGGGTGGTGGGTAAAATGTGTCAAAAGGTACACACTTCCAGTTATAAAATAAGTAAGTCCTGGGGATCTAATGCACACCATGGCAACCGGAGTTAATAATACTGTATCATATATGGGAATGTTGCTAAGAGAGATCTTCAAAGTTCTCATCACAAGAATAAAAACTGTGTAACTCTGGGGTGATGGATGTTAACTAGACTTATTGTGGCGATCACTTCGCAATCTATACATCTATACCTCCACTGAATCATTACATCGTATACCTGAAACTAATATAATGTTGTATGTCCATTATAACTCAATAAAATAATGGGGGGGGGGACTATTAGCATAACCCTAATGCAAAAAAAAAAAACACCAACAACTAATCATTACAGCACATAAGGCAGCCAGCAACCTCATTCATATATCTATATCTATATCTATATCTATATATCTATATCTATATCTATATCTATATCTATATCTATATCTATATCTATATCTATATCTATATCTATATATCTCAAATAAAAACCAAATTATTTATGTTCAGAAACAGGAATATATCGAAACAATTAGACAGTATGATCTTGAGAGTATTTTTCCAAGAATGGCAGGGAGGTGATGTCACTGGGAAATCTACTGACGTATGTGTTTAATACATAAAGATATCAAGAGGCAGAGGAGGACAAGCCAGGAGTGTCTGGCTGATGTGGCCATGTCTGACACAAGTCGTGGTGTATGAACTGACCAGAAGGCTTCCTATACCTGACCAGACTGCTGTGGTCTCAACCCCTGGGCTGCCACCTGCTGCCTTGTCTTGGCAGAAAATTACTTGACTTACCATCACCTCCATTTCCCCATCTGTACAATGGGAATAATAAAAAAATATAATAATATTACCTATCTCATGGAACTGCTGAGATCATTGAGTTTATAATATATATTATATATAATTTAGATTAGTACTTGGCCGATTGCACATTATCTAAGTTTTTATGATCACGTCAGCCAAATGTTTATGACTATCACTAATAATAGCAGATACGTATATGAAACCAATATCCAAAATCACACTTGATATACACACAGTCTTTCTTAAAACTGTGGCCCAAACTATAGCCTACTCTTACTACGTCATTTATCATTATTTGACACATTTCAAACAATTCAATAAGACAAGAAAAATGTGTCACAAATATTAGGAAAACTCACATTATCATTATTTGAAGACTGATTATGTACTAAAACCAAAGGAATAGAGTGAAACAGAAAATCTATTGGATATAAGGCAAGAACGCAGTAAGTAGACAGGTTACAAATTAAATATCCAAAAAATCAATTTTCTTCCTATAAACCAGCAAAATAAAATATTAAGTATAATAAAAATCCCATTCACAAGAGCAACATAGTTATAAAGTATCCAGGAATGGAATTAATAATAAATACCCCGAAGGCTTCATGATGAACCCCAGGAGTTTACCAAGAGATAACAAGGAAAATTTAAACAAGTGAATAGGCTAAATTCTGAGAAAACAAGGCTCCATACCATCAATATCTGTTCTCCCCACGTTAGTCTATAAGAGCCGAGGAAACCAAAACACCTAGGGGTAATTTCAGACTTGGCAAACTAATTCCACTTTAGAAGACTACATGGCAAAAATATCCAGTTATAGCCCGGCCAGTGTGGCTCAGTGGCTGAGCATCGACCCATGCACCAAGAAGTCGCCAGTTCAATTCCCAGTCAGGGCACATGCCCAGGCTGTGGGCCCGATCCCCAGTGGGGGGCATGCAGGAGGCAGCCAATTGATGTTCTCTCTCATCGATGTTTATATCTCTCTCTCCCTCTCCCTTCC